GCCAGCGCTCACCGTGCGCCACGTGCCCGGGGCCGGCTCCGGCACCGCGCATGCGCCACGTGCCCGGGGCCAGGCCAGCCCTGAGCACTTGGCGGGCGCAGACAAATGCCCCCGCGGGCGCCGTGTTGGGGACCACGGCTCTAGAGTCTAAAGCACTGGCCAGGGCGCTCTTCTGGGTAAGCTCTGAGGTATACATTGACCTGGGACTGTGGCTGGGCCTTTGGGAGCAGGAGAACCCGTTTGGAGTTGGTGAGACTGGCTTTCACAACCTCTCATCGGCATAAGGAGCGGTGCTGGTGGTGACACAGGAGAACTGGAGTCTGAGGGAATTGCTTTGTGGTTTCTGGTTAGCCAGCGTAGCAAACAGAAGTGCTCTTGGTGACTGGCTTGGTCCCTTCTAGAGAAGAACCCCCAGTCTTGGGCTATAAGTAGCCCCATCGCTAAGCAATTTGCCTTCATTTGACCCTCTCAGCGATACCCCGGAAACCCACAATATAACACTAGGGAATCTGTGTCACAAAGCTCTGTGGTTGGGATTTTCCATTGATGGTACCAGCATTGGCTCTCAGATCTCAGTGTAAACGTACAGATGAGACGGGCCTGAATCCACACCCACAGGCTTCTAGCTGGCTCTGAACTCTCCCTCTGGCCCCTACTAGCATGATAGGCTCAACCACCCTCCAGCACTAGGTGGGCATGTCTAAGGACGCTGTGCCAGGCAATGGGACAGGTACACAGCTTGCCCTGGGCACCCACTGGGGCCCGGGGCTGGACGAGTGCAGGGCACAGAGGTGGAGAGGCCCACGTGCGGGGGAGGGAATATGTTCATACTCACATGCTTTGAGAGGTCAGGGCTTTTGGAATCCACATCGTACCTGCAGGGAGACAGGAGAAACCACATGACAATGGCCATAGTGCATCTCGTGTGGCAGGGCCCAGCACTCCTGCCACCACCAGGGCACTGCATGGCCTCCTGCTGGGGGGCAGGGCCTAGGAACCTGGGTCTCCCACGCCCCACGGGAGTGCCCCAGCCTGACGGCTATGGGCAAGTCTGAGGCTCACTCTCCAGGGGGTGGATTAGGAGACACACGGGGCTGCTGCCCCCAAGCACCACTGCTGAGGTGCCACACAGACTGTCACAACAGGCTCTGACCCCTGCCCAGCGCTGGCCCCTCGGCCCCACTCTCTGACTCCACAGGGGCCAGTTGCCTGCAGAGGGCTGTCAAGGCGGGGAGGGGTTAGCTGGGGCTGGGGCTGTGGCTGGGAGGC